AATATGCCAATGAGACAATGAACGAATTGAGTGTCAGCCTTGGGAGTCAGGCGAATAGAGGGCACTATACCTGCCCGATAGTGATGCCAGGATTCTTGTCAGGCAGTCACAGGGATATGGGATGCTCAGATGCCAGAGCCAGGACCACCAGTTGGGCAGAGACAAGGTAAGCACAGCAGAACTAGGAACAACGAAGTCTCAGCACTGCACCTTTTACCTGGTTGAGTCACGTGCAATTAGGTTCAAGTGCCAGGTGCGTAAACATGAGGCAAGAGCTTCAACCTCTGAGTCTCAGTATCCTCACCTGAAAAATGGTAAGATAGAGGTTTCAAAAGCCTCGGAACCTATAAGCCAGAATTTCCCTTACAGCTTTACAACCGTAAAGGCCTATCTCAGCGGCCGTGAGGATATACAGTACTTGTATATACAAGCGCTTAACCCCTGACCTGTAACACAGCTTTCAGCCACGGACTGTTTGCCGAGGGGCGAATCAGATGCAGTAAATGGCAACGGAGAGCCCAGCATGGGCCAGGCGTCGCGGCCTGACAGCTGCTGTCGCCGCTGGTGTGGGAAGCCAGTCGGTGCTCTGCGATCACTCTCTGCGATCACTGAGGCTGCAGATTAGCAAGGCACTTCAGGAACTGCTGAGAATTCAAGATTCCAGACCCACCTGTGGCTGAAAGAATCTAAGGGAGGTGCCCCAGCGACTCTCTGTGGAGGGCAGGGGAACTCACACCAGCACAGGCAACTCTTAAGGAGTTGTCAGCAGTCAAGAAAAGAAGAAATGTTTACCGCTCCCTTTCAGATATTAGACTGCTAGTCTGTCTCTAATTCTTGAGGGGCTTACCTGTTGGCTGAAGGGCTCCGGCACACTTGTACGGGTCCTCTGTACCTTAGCACTGATTTCACTCCTGTGGCACTAACTGTCTCTCCCCAAAGACTGCCATCTCCTTGGAGATAAGAACCACATGGGATCTGCTTGGGCTTCTCCAGGGCCTGCTACAGGGTGGGTGACAGACTGATGCTGGGGGAAAGCAGCCCTGACCGAGAATAAAATATGCTGAAAGGAGACCGTGGAGGCTTTTTGGGTCTAGGGAGTGGCCCCCCACATCAGTGTTACAATATTTTCAGAAACATATCTAGGACTCTCCCTGGTGACACAATAAGTTAAAGCGCAGCACTATGAAGCTGGCCATGGCTCCTTCAACACGAGTTCGATCCCCGGCCAGGGAGCTGACCCACATGGCCAGCAGACCTCTCCTGACCCGCCCACTGCTCCCCTCAGCAGTGGACTTTGTCTATCCGCCTGTTCTGCTCCCCGCTCTGTCTCTGGTGAATCCTCTCACGGCTCCTGCACCTCTGGCTTGAACCCCAGTTCTGTGTGCACAAATAAATAAACTTTTCTTAAAAACATCAACAATAACAAATGCCTCTCAGTCAAGGTCCATGTGTAAATTTTGGCTTGAAAGCCCAATTGCTGAGAGGCCCATTTGCCCTTGGGGCCTGGCCTGGCATCAGTACACCGCCACCAGGTGGCAGCAAATGCCACAGCCACATCCAGGAGGTCGCTGAAGTGGACTTCACGTCAGGGTCTTGTTCCCCTCATTTGTCCCTCTTTGGGGTAGGTGGGGGACCTGGTGTTCCGAGGCACCTCATGGCTCGACACCCCCATCCCTGCCCCAGGGAATCAGACACCTTGGGCTCAGTCTCCAGCTCCTTCCAGAGAGAAGGCAGACCTGGGGAACTCGTGCGTGCCCTGGGAAAGCAGAGTCCACGATTGGATCTGTGACAGGCCTTCTGTTCTTGCCCTGAAAACACACACTCGAAACACAATGGGGAGGGAGAGCGGCAGGAATCTGGGGCAGGGAAAATGTGATTTCCTGCAAGAGTCCCTCAGCTCCCCAAAGACTGAAAAGGCAGAAAATAAAAATTTGCGGGAAAAAAAGTGGAGTGGAGGCGCTCCACACTTGAGAGAACACAGGGCTGACAGTGAGGACAAATAGATGTTTAGAAAGTTATAACAGACCACGGAATGCAAATTGCCAGGGACAAAGAAGGCGAAATGCTGCATGGCTTCAAGTTCTTGCCGTGAAACTTGATTCCCTGGATCTGTGATCTTAGGTTCTGAGCTCAAAGATCCCCATTGGGCTGCGGGGCCCGGGCTCCTCCTGACTGGAGTCAGTGACAGGAGCCAAGTGGGGACCCCCGGTGCTCAGGGAGCCCTGCTGTGTGCCACGTGAAGTGGGCACCAAAAGAAACTCAGTGCTTCTGGCCCGGGTGTGCACCAGTTCCGAACTGCCCTGAGCCGCGGGGTTCTCACCCCACCAGCAGGAGAGAGCGGGGGGCGAGGGCCAGGCTGGGACCAGCAGGGCCAATGCAGAGGTTCTCACGTTCTCCAGACACCGGACTCCGCTGCACCCAAACCCCCTCACGGGAGCACGCACAGTTTCTGCGGTGTCACTGTGATGTGCACCCACATAGCCTCACCGGCCATGTCTCTACCCACCCGTCCGACGTCTGACCACGCCTCTGTCCATCTGTCTGTCCATATACTCATTCACATCACCCACAGATCCGTCACTGAGCTCTCACTGCAAGGCAGGCGTGGCCGGCAGGGTAGAGACGGAACAGTAACAGTGTGTGAAGGAGCGACTCCCTCCCCCGCCAGGCTGGTATTTTAGCGCGGGGCTTGGGGGGCGCGGGGGGGGCGTGGGGGGCAGTGATGCAAAGCGAGGGGCGTCTGGGACATTGACAAGCATCGAGGGAAAGCAGGGACGTCCCTGCAACACCAGGCCATCTGCTTCTCATCCAGGGGCCCTGGGCCCTGCCACACCAGCCCGCCTGGTCTGTCCAAGAATGTGATTTACCGAGACACCCGCTTCCCCCGAGGGTCTGCAGCTCCGAGGGCTGTGACAGGCACACGCAGCAAGCGCCTCCTGTGCGCCTCTGTAGACGCCCCATGGGAAGCCTGGCCGGGGTCTGTGCAGAAATACCTCTCAGTATTTGAGCATGGCCCCATGTTTGGAAGCTGCTAGAAGGAACATGCCCCGTGCAGCCCCTCCGGGCAGGAGGGAGGAAACGCAGGAAGCAGATGGCCCCTCGGGGCTCCACCCACGATGGTGGAAATCAACTACAGCCACGGGCGCCACTGTCCTGGGTCCTGTGAGCCCTTCTGGTCGATCACCCAGCGTGGGGTCTTGGCACCCGGACACAGGGGTCATGTGTCCTGCCTCGACTGCTCAACGCTGCTTCTGAGCAGCCACGGCTAACAGTCTAGAGCACGCGGCTGGACTGTGATGAGACTTGGTTTGTAAAACCGGCGAAGGGCTGGATTTGGAAAGCTCAGGTTCTCGAAATCAACTTGAGAACCGCTGCCAAAGTCAATCTGTTCGCGTCATCAGCGGGAAACGGAGCCCCGGATGGGAGAGAGAGCAGACTTGCCCGGCGGCCCAGCGGAAGCGCCTCTGGAGAAGCCGCGACCTGGTGGTCTCAGGGCTCTGTGACACGCGGCCACACAGGAGCCGCGGAAAAGGAGCCGCAGCCCGCGAGGGCGGCGGGAAGGCGCCACGGCGGAGCAGACTGTGCACATGTGAAGGTCCTCGCGTCCGCTCTGCAGGCTGTGGGGAGTCAGCGTGTGCACTAGTGTGTAGGTGGGGCTCCCCTACTGTAGGGTTGGCCGATTTCCCCAAATCTTCCTGGCCACGGGCCACCTCTCTAAAGCCTCCAGCTCAGACCCTCTGAAACGAGGGCAGCAGGGTGGGGCCTGGGGTCTGCATTTGTACCACATGTGCCAGGATGTTCTGATGGCCAGCGGGTCCCGTAGGCACCGGGGTGAAGTGTGGGGCCTCCTGACTGAGGACTGGGGGGCGGCCAGGACCAGGGAGCCGGTGAGCGGAGGAGAGAACGGGGCTCTGTCCTGGGTCCAGGCTGAATTTGAGGACCAACAAAAACATACGGACCCGCAAAACTCACCTTGTGGCAAACGCAGATTCCACGCTTCCTGCGTGACCTATGTTTGCTTTAGTGGGGAAATGGGCTCCCCCACCCACGCCAACACCTGTCGTGAGGTCATTTCACACCCTGCCATTGTCTGGGGCCTTCGAAGGACAGCGGCATCTGGGCCCCTCCTCCAACGAGTTCGTTCTGACCCGTCTGGGTGGTGCATTGGAAGTGGGATTTTCTGAGGCTCTCCAGGAGCTTCTAGAAAGTTGCAGAGGCTGGGAAGCCCTGGCTGGAGAAGCCGTTCCCAGCTCTCGCCTCGCTCACGCCGGCGTCCCACCCACCGTAACGAGAGGCCGTAGGACACTCAGAACAGCCGAGGCCGAGCCAGAGACTCTCCAGCAGGCCAGCCTGATGGCACTGATCCTTTTGTTCCTGAGCGAACCCCACAGAGACAGTCGCCACCGGAGATCCGGTTTCTCTCGCCGAGGTACCCACTACAGAGACCTGCGAGCTCAGGTGGGGAGAAACTGCACCGCCGGCCTCAGAAACAGGCGTCTCACTCGAGATCCTTTCTGTCAGAGCATCACCGAGAGCAAAAGAGCCTGGCAGGGATGAAACCAAACCCACTAACCACCACTTTGCTTAAAGTCGGCTTCCAAGCAACTGAGGACGAGTCAGGTGAGGGTTTCTGTGTTTTCAGGGTCACCCGCCCCTCACGGAAACCTTGTTCTATTCGGTAGTGATGGCAGCGACGAGCGACAGCAGAAAGCCCAGGCGTCCCGGCACCGGACCCCCCCTGCGAGGACGGCGCCAAGTCCCCCCTCACCACTGACGTGCCCCTTTGCCGGCGCGCCGTGGGCATCATTAACTCGCTGCCAGGACTGTCTCTAACGGGCCAGTGCAGAGGCACACACCCCACCAGGTCCCACACGTCGCTTTCGGGGTCCTGGCGAGTCCGGATTTGCTCCCTGTGGCCTTACTTCACAGCAGATGACTGTCCTGAAGGACCGAGCGGGACAGTGGGCTGGGCAGGGCACCAGGCCTGCGAGAGCACTTACCTGCGGGTCGGAGAGCCGGGAGAGGTCAGGGTACAGGTAGAACTTGATGCCCTCGGAGGCCCCTGGCAATGTGACCCCTCGGATCAGGAGGATCAGCAGCATGATGTAGGGGAACGTCGCGGTGACGTACACCACCTGCCCGGGAGAGGGGAGAAGGTCAGCGGGTGCGACGCTCGCGGGGAGCTGGGGGCAAGGTGGCCGGGCCCCCGCTTCTCCCGGAGCAGAGATCCGGGTACAGCAAGGCGATGCAAGACTGCAGCACCCCTGCGCCTCTCTTGCCTCCAACCCCCAAGAGCTGGTGAGCAAGGGCCCTGTGGGGCCCCGGTGAGGTGTGCGTTGGTCCTTCCAGCAGTGCAGCATCGCCTGCAGGAAGAGACACAGGTGCCGCGACACGGCTGGGCCGCAGGGTCAGCAGAGCCACGGCACTCTCACCGCGGTGCGGCTAGGACTGTCTCTCCTCCCTCCGCCACGCGGGCCTGGCGCTCTAAATGCAGGTCATGTGGTCCAGCAGCGGGCTGAGACCACAATTTCTAAAATAAAGCTCGAGATTCTTAAGCTAAAGATAGAGCAGGAGAGGGACACGGGGTGGGAGGGAGAAGGACCCGGTGCGGGAGCCGAGGGCAGGGAGACCCCCTGCTGGCTGGAACCCTGTCGGCTGCGTCTGCCTGGCGGCTGGTGACTGGGTGCCGTGAGCCCAGGAGGCCCTTTCAGGCCTCGATTCTGGTTCAGAATCAGGAGTGAAAGAAACGAAGCCTCCCCTTACTGTCCCCACACGCGAGCTCAGACAGTGAGGGCAGCACCTCCCGGCTGCACAGGTTCCTGTCCTGTCTGCGGTCTGGGCAGGGCCCGGGGTACCCCCACCCGCCCCAGCGGCCCGGCAGGCCCGGGGTACCCCCACCCGTTTGCTCTGCTCACGTCTCTCCTCAATCCCTCGGTCCTGTCTAGTGCATCTCCTTCTCAACACTGGTGGGGCATGGACACTTGGAGAACTGACGCAGCTCTGGTCCTTCTCCCCTCCCCCAAATGTGCATGGACACAGGTGTGTGCACAGTCTGAATGGCTCGCAGACTCGGACTCCCAGGAAAACCGTGCTCCGTGCACTACGGATCCCCTCCTGCAGCCTCTCCCCCATTTACACCAGCCTTTACCCCCACTGGTTCATTTGTTCATTACTCACTCGTCCACTACTCACTCATGCAAAAGCACTCGTACACGCCAGGCACCGAGCTAGACTCTGGAAGGTACAAGAATGGGAGTTTCTGCTTCCAGAGACCTCCGCACTGATGGGACAGACACACATGGCGGAGGGGATCCTGACGCCTTTGCACTTGGCGAGCACAAGGACAGAGAGGAGTGGGGCAGAGAGGAGGGGGCTGGCCACACGGGCAGTCGGGGAGGGCTCCCCAAGGAGGTGACCCAGTGTGAGTAGCTCACAGAGGATGAAGAGAAGTTGAGAAGACGCGACTTCCCAGCGGAAGTAGGGAACAAATGACAAAGCTTTATGATTTCTTTTATTTTCACCAAAATTAATATCCTAGAAAAGTTGAGATAGAGACATTACATCCAGTGCACACAGCGATCTTTGTCAAATGCCATCTCATTTCAGTGAAGCATACCCTCTGGAATGACTGGAGGAGACAGAAAGACCACAAAACAAATCTAGCGCCATTTCTTTGCACTTACACAAGGTAAGAGACCCCGGTCTACATCAACATGAAGGCAAACCACGCTTGCCACAGCGACAAAGCAGAGGCGCCAGCCCCTATACAGGACATACGGACCCGGACACTGACTCCAGCCACGAGGTGGCACCGTCCCCAGCCCGCTCTCTGCCTCGCCAGCAATTCCAGCAGCCCCGTTTCCAAATCGCCACCATCTCAATCAATGCCATGTGATCAACACGATCTCTCCCTGTCTATATATGAAATACAGAAAGGGGACACACAGGTCAAATATACAAGACAGCAGCAGTGTGGATGATGAGGAGGAGGAGGAAAATAATGATGACTGACAATAAAAATTTAGACACCAGCAATCAATAAGGGTTGGTTCCTGGCCAGAGAGCAGGAACAGAAAAATCTGCTTCCCTTAACTCTCGAGGCATAATTTATCACAGAGCTTCAGCATTTTACGAAAATCCTTGATTTTCTTCCTTCAAAATGAAGCCTCCTGTTAACAGCTTAAGTCTAGGAAAGTCAACCTCAATCTACTGCTTTCATTGAACAATTTCCGCTTGTACGGCAGAAGATTAATTACCCGGAATGCCTGGGTAATGATAATTCTGTGGCTTAGCTTAACCGCCAACACTCACGAAATCTAAGGGAAAGAACACTGACATGCAAAATATACGAACGAATGAAAATCACAAGAATTTGCCCTTCATCCACGGGGCTGTCTGTAGGGGACTGAGCGTGCTGGTCACACTCTGCCCAGTCAGGCCCAGCAGAGGCTTGCAGGCCACATCACGTAGTGGGCAGCAAGTGGAGGTGGGCTGAACGGTGCTATCTTCACATATTCACTGGTCCCTGCTCTCCTAAAAGCCCCCTCTGAATCTGCTGCTACCCTCAGTCACAGATGCTTGGACAGCATCCGGGAGTCTTCACAAGAACAGCTACAGACTGTGCAAATCAGCAGCAAGAGACTGCACACTGCCACACCCTGCTGTGCTCATGCAGACATCACCAGTCAACCACAGCGCTGTCAGCCTGAGCTGGGACACAGCTCAGGGGTACCCCAGGCAGCCACCATGATTGGTGGGGGCGAGATCTGCTGCCCTTGATTGGCTCCATTTTTCATCTGTTCAGAGTCTTCTGCAGGCCTTAGCCCCGGCACCTAGAAGTGTTAAGACCCAGGTGCTCAGTGCTCAATGGCTGAATTCAGAGCTGCCGAATGCGGCCTAAGTGAGACACAGCGGTGGGAGGGGCCGGCACCCACTGGCGCAGGAAAAGGGGGCTGAACAGGCAGGCTGGAAGGAAGGGCCTCTGTGAAGGCTGTGACTGGGTGCCCCAAGGGTAAGTAGGAGCGGGAGAGGCCGCTCAGCAGAGGCGGCGACCTAGGTGAGCACATGGAAAAGAGTGTCTTCCTCTGGAGCACCTCAAAACTTCCAGGCTGTCCCCCGGTGTCCGAGGCCACCTCACCTCTTCTCCCACCTGCAGCCGGTGGTATCCAGTCCTGCCCAGTAGGTCCCCAAGTCTGTTTTAAAATTTCACCCCTCTTTGGCCTCATATTTGGGGCCCTTCTTGGTTTCCAGCTCTCTTCTTGGTCAGGAAAGAGCCTCGTGCTGTCCACACCATGGACAAAGCTAGCCTGTGTCTTCCTGTCCCTCTGAGTCTCCCCTCTGCAACCCCATGCTGGAGGGTGTGGAGTCTAGTGAAAGGGTTGGGCTGAGTCGCACGCCCCAGGTCCCCTTCCTGGCTAGGCCCCAGCTCGCTGTGTGGCTTGACCAGTCCCCTGCCCTCCCCCAGTCGCTCTGCTCTCCACGGTGCTGGGCTCCTCGCTGCTGGGAGCGGGCCAGCTCCTCCAGGCTCCTTGCCTTTTCATGCCACCCTTTGTCCACAGTGTACATCCCCAGCTCACCACCCAGGGCGTCAGTCCTGGGTAATCTAAATCTCCACTCTCAAAGCCAGGGGCTCTGCCCGCAAGGTGCAATAGCATCGCCCTGTTTGCTTCAGAGGTTAGGCACCACGGTGCTCTGTGTCCTCTGCCCAAACGTTGCCAAGTGGCTGGACCGTGACTTCCTCCCCGCCCCCACCCACATCCCCACTCACACCGGCATGTGCCCGGCACCAACAGCTGCTCTCCACCAGCTATTCTATTGCCTGGCAAGTTTAAAATTTCTCAAAATATAAGCTATGAGGAAAGGGTCTTTGCCTTCACTTTCCCTGCTGAATCCTCAGTGCCCACAACAGCCCGTGGCACACAAGACAGGCCCAGTGAACACTGTTGGCTGGGTAAACCCATCAGCAGGTGGAGACCTGGAACCCCGAGTCAGATGCCAGGCTCTTTCATCCACATAAAATGGGGTCCAGAAAACTGAAGCACATTTTAAGCTGAGTGTTGACAAGAGAATCACAAGAGATTTGATTTTAAGGAAGAACAAGCACAGGTACAAAGGGCAAAGAATTTCAGGTGCAAGGTGCTCTCTGTGGAAAGTGGAGTTTTTCAAGATGCCTAAGGCCCAAGGATTTGCAGCAGAGCTGAATTGCCAAGAAGGGCCAGGAATTATGCTAAATTATGCAGTGTTTAGTGCTGGGCACAATGGGGTCAGTGACAAGGTACCATCAAGTCTGACCTCCCTGGCCGCTTGGATGCAGCCTGCCTCGCGCCCAGAGAGGTGGGTGAGGGGAAGGGACATTCAATTTATCAGGCCCCTGAAATGAAGCTCCTGCCCAAAGCATGCCCCTTTGGTGTAGAAAGATTTTTTTTTCTTTTTTGCTATTGTTCATTTTCCTTTTAGCAGGTCAAGCCCTTCTGAATAGAAAGGTTAGCACAATTGGTGGTAATTACACTGTATCCTGTTTTAATTGACTCTAATTGCTCATTTGCATTTCAATGCTGGGATTGAGGGGTGTTATTCCCCCACATCCAGGACACAGCCTTTTATTTCATCGCAAGGGGATTGTCTGATGGTTGAGAAAGTCACAGAAATTGCAGAAGGAGTGCCTCCATCCAGAGTTTTCAAGGAGGATGGTGCACCGGAAAGCTGAATATTGTTCAAAGGACACTGAGTGAGCAGGGGAGTGTGGCGGGGGGCAGGGGGCAAGAACCCATGAGCAGCGGGTCTGAAGACCCCACGAGCTGGCAGCTCGTCCAGGCCCATGCCCTCTCTGGGCAGGGGCTTACACAGAGGCAGGGATAGACTAACTCAAGCTTCAATCACTCCTGCCACTTTCCAAATACTTGTTTTTCTCTACCAGGTACTGTATCACCATTGTATTATTTACATAGCATTTTCTATATATCGTTTGACACTAACATTACATAAATATATGCCATGAGAAAGCTGAATCACCACTATAAACAGAAAATGTTCTTTCCGCCCACAGATAGGAGCTAAATGCAAGAATAAATGCAATAAAAATAAAATGTCACTAATTCCAGCCAGAGAACCTGAGACTCAGCTGCTCTCTTTGTTT